ACAGGTATGAAGACAGAATACATCCCTGATGCACTCCTTTCCCAATTCCAAACCATGCAGTACTCTCCTGCTCCATTTGCACAACAGCCTCCTGATCCAGGTATAGGTTCTACATGAGCACGATCAAGTGCTCTGGGATTTCCATCTGTTGACCCATGTGTCAACCACAGTGTGTCATGATCCACACAGTCAAATGCCTTTGCATAGTCAAAAAAGCACAAATAGACATTCTTCTGGTATTCCATGCCAAACAACAATTGTACTGAATCCTTTGATGGTAAAAATTGTTAGCATGCTGTGCTGCTAATTGGAAGGTTAGATATTTTTGTCCATCCTTCCAGAAGTAACTTGGAAGAAAGTCCTGGTGATTTAGAAAAATCAGCCCTTGAAAACTTTATGGAGCACAGTTCAATCCTACAGACTTAATAAAGGGTGTTGCATTGAGTTAGAGTTAACTTAAAGGCAGCTGGTTGACTTTTACTATACTAATTATAATTAGCTTAAACAGCCGAAGAATAATTGCTCAGCCAGTCTAGGTAGAAGTTATGCACAACATTAAGTACAACCCAGGAGACATGATCTTATTGATTCACACAGGAGACTCAGAATATCGGTCTAATCAGAAAAGGATACTTGGTAGGGAATGCTGGGATATAAGGCAGGGTAGATGGCATCTAGCCTCTGAAAGAACCCTGGAATCCAGAGTTTTGGCTCTGCATGGTAAAGGTCCTCTAAAATACAGATGTTTGGACCTTAGCCTGAAATGCTATTGATAATAGATAATGAGAAAATATATGATTTTACCAAACTGCTCCAGTATTTTCTTATTGGGCCAGTGGTGAGGATTTTTGTTTTCTGTATGTTGAGGTGTAATCCACACTGAAGGCTGTAGTCTATGCTCTTCTTCAGTAGGTGCGTCAAGTGTCCTTCACTTTCTGCAAGTCTTTGTCATCAGCAAAATGCAGGTGGAAAAATCTTCCTCCGAACTTGATACCATATACTTCTGAGAAAGGAACAAATATATCTGTCTCAGAGCAAGTTCAACCTTCGAGACATGGGTGGTGAAACTTGGTCTCACATACTTTGAACATGTTGTCCAGAGGTGCAAATCCCTGAAAAAAGAAGTAGACGTTCAGCAAAAGAGAGGAAGACCCTTAACAAGATGAATCGACACAGTGACAGCAGCAATGGGTTTGAGTATGACAGAGATGGGAGGATGGTGCAGGATAGGAGCAAGGTTCCTGCCTGTTGTTCACAGGTCACTGTGAGTCATAGTGGACTCAACGGCACCTAACAGCAAGCTCAGCATGTCCCTGAAACACACTAACATTTAGGAACCATTAGAAAACTATCTAGCACCATATCTTTAAAGCACAGGAATAACACAGTGTAAGGGGCTTCTAAGTGTTGCACCGGGAACTCTGGTGGTGAAGTATTTCATGGTAGGCTGCCAACCAGGAGGTTTGCAATTTGAATCAACAAGCAGCTCCTCAGAAGACTATAGCAGTCTGCTTCTGCAATTATTATTACAGCCTTGAGCTGTTCTTGAGCTGATGGCAATGGGTTTTTTTTTTGTTTTGGTTGTTGTTTGTTTTATTTTGTTAAGCAGTGTATAGGATACCTTTTGGGATGGAAAGATAGGTTGATTGGAATAGCAGTCATTCATGCCTGAAGGAGTGAGGGTTTTCACCATTAGCAGCATAGGAATAAACAGCAGTCAATGATTGTAGATGGTATAATTTTAAAATGATAGAATTGAATGGCTTAGTGGGTGGGAAATCAAAAATGGAAGGGAGGAAGGATTAAAAAATGGCCATATTATTTCAAGTTCTCTGGTGACTAGGAGAAAAGTGAAACACTGATGTAAGTGAAGAATTGAAAATAACTTCTTTTAGAGAGAGATAAACTCTGAAGCACATTGGTAAAGATGACATTTCTAAAAGGAAACACATAGAAAACAACTGGAGGAGGTCACTCACTTGGTGCCATCGGGTTGGAACCGACTCATAGCTGACCCTCCAGGGGGTGCTGAGGCTGTGTACCTCCCGGAAGGAGATTGTTCATCTTCTTTCCCAAGGAGCTGCCGGTGCATTTGAACCTACGGATGGGTCCACCTTTGGGTTAGCATTATACTCCCTAGGCTATGTCACCCTTACTTGAAGGAAAGGGGGTTCTAAACCTGAGTTCATGTCTTGGCTGGAACAGTAGATGAAGTTTTTGTGGAATACTTTTAAATAAGAGTTCTATGTTTTTAAAAGGCCAGAATGTATATAATTTTATATGCAAAGAATGACATCATTAATAACTAATAGTAATTATTTATATAACTCAAAATTAGGGTGTGTCAAATATTTGCCAGATGCTACCTGTAGAGACAGTGGTCTTTCCAATCACTTGCTATATATCTGAGAGATAGAAAATGAACGGGGTTGTAGAAAAGAATCGACACCTTTGAGCTGTAGTGTTTGAGAAGTGCACTGAACATCCCATGGACAGCCAAGAGAACAAATAGATATGTCTTGGAGACGGTGCAGCCAGAATGCTCTTTGGAAGCAAGGATGATGAAGCTTTGTCTCACATACTTCAGGCATGTAACTAGGACGGGTTATTCCTCAGAGAGGGACATAATGCTGGGAAGGGTGGAGGGTCGGTGACAGAGAGGGAGACCCTAACCAGGTGGACTGACATGGTGACTGCTGCAATGCTCTAACATGTCAGGAAGTGTGAAGATGGCACAAGAAAGGACAGGGTTCAGATTAGTTGTTCATTGGGTCATTATGAGTCATACTTGATGTGATAGCACCTAACAGCAACAACAACCTGTAAAGGAAAAAAACCCTTTATTTAATTTATTTCAAAGAACAAAATGCACAACATAGCAAATGATGTGAACATATTTAATTATACTCCTCTTTCTAGGGAGAATATAAAGCCCTTAAGGGTTGAGCAAAGTGGGTGTAAACTCATTTGTATACCCCAGTGAACTAGTAAATGCTCAGTTTTTTAAATGAATTGCAAAATGATCCTTAGAGGTTTCTAACAATATGTCTCCTCACCTTCCTGAACCCCTGCTGGGCCCCTGGAGTGCTGTGTGCTCCTGGAAAATCTCTTGGGTTCAAGTTCCAACTAAGCTTCAGTCCTTTGAGAGACTAATTAATATCCTTGGTTAGTATGGGGAATATCATTTGATAATTAAAAGTTAGGATGTGCTCTAAATCCAGATTCACTGGGCCAGTTGGAAGATTTCCCAGTATTAGTAATGCTTTTAACTGAAACTGATCAACGCAGACTCTGTTGTTTTATTATAGTGGAATTAGGGAGCCCTAGTGGTCTGCTCAATAGAGGTTGTGCTGTTAATCCAAAGGTCATGCCTTTCTGGTGTTTGAATCCACTTATTTGATGACTTGGGAAAAGTTATACAGTATTCTTCTGTGTAATTTACAGAATTGCATACCAGTGAAGGGACAGCTATGAGTCAGTTTTGTTCCTGCAATGAGAGACAAGGATAGCTCTGATATGGTTTTGGTTGCAAATGGTTTCGTTTTCTAATTAATTCTACTTTTACCAAAAGCAAGGCAATCACCTCCAAAATAATTATATTACATTCACTATGTAAAGTAATTGAAAAGTTTAATTGCTCATGGTATAATAAAAAGATGGGCATGTTCTCAAATGAGATAAATTCTGTACAATATCTCTGAACTTGAGCTTGTGCCATTATGATATTAATCTCTGAGCATTTTGAGGCAATATATTTCTAAGCAATTCTAACTATAAATTATGCACATTATGTAGGGAATTTTATTGCATATTATTTATTTACTAACTTCTTTGCTTTTTTCAGCATGAGTTGATAGTTACATTGTTATAAAAACTACATTGTTTAGCATAAGTTTATATTTCATTCCTGCTTTAATATTCTGTGGTACCTGTGTCAGTTAATTTTATCGGAAAAAAATAGACAGTAGAATATATTATTTAGGAAATGTTCTTTTATTATTTTAAATCAATAAATGGTCTGAGCTCTTTTCAGGCAACACAGTTTATAAGCATATAATAGATTTTAAAATGCTGTACAGACTTTAAAAAAAATTTAATGTATAGAAATTGAAGTCAGATTAAAAATATACTTTCTTCTAAATGCTTTGTTTGAATTTTTTTGTTGCAGCATATATAAGAAGGATAAAGAAATGATTAAGCTTTCCTTTGACAAATACTTATTGAACATTTGTAGTGTACTAGGGAATGTTTGTAAGTCAAGGATACTACTATAAAGAAAGTGTGATTACAGTCTTCAATAACTTACACTTTATTATTATCTGTAATATGTTGATGATGATGATAATAGTATTCTACTCTCAGAGAGTAGTTTTTATAAAAGTCTTTGTGATGATAAATGAGTGAAACATGTAGACTCATTTTGAGTTCTGCTGTGTTAATAGGTGGCTTGTTAACTCAAAGGTATAGGATATCACTCCAGCTGTTAGAATCCATCAGTGACTTTGAGTAGAAAGCTGAGCAATTTCTCTCTGTGTGGTTTACACCATCCAAAAACTCATTGGAGAGTCAGTTACAAGTTGGTTTTGACTGTATAGCAGTGAGAGGGCTTTTAAGAAACTAATTTTAGAAGCAAGCTCACAGAGGGAATTCTCTCAGAGAACTGAACTTGTAGCTCGTGTTTTAAGTAAGTCTTCTTAGTTTTGAGAACTTTAGAGATTTTGAAAATATTGAGTTTAGGATTTTGCCCTCTTGGAAATTCATAACACCAGCAAACTCAGAGTTTGTTTAATTAATGCCATGAATTTATTTGACCAATGGAAAACCTTTTTTTTTTTATTGTTGTTCTTGAATCGATGAGTAAATGTTCGATCCTAGTAAGTATTTTCAAGTGTTTTATAATATTATGTCTTTAAAATGTACGATGTTCTCTTGTGTTTTTTAGAACTCTGTCCTTTGCTGAGAGGTCTTTGTCTTTCATCTGTTATTCACATTTTTTCTAGGTTTTAGGGAAAAAGCCGGAGCTTCCACTGGGAAGTGATGATGATGACACCACAGCAGACATAATGAACAGGAAAATGGCTAAACTCTACATGGTGAGTTCACCTGTACCTAGTTCTTCTCTTTTCACTGGTGTGACTGTGGTTCCAGGAGCAGGTCTGCACTTGATAACTCTTTCTTTCACCCTTAAAGAGAAATGAATACATCGAGTCCGTTCTTGGATCTTGTATTACTCTCTGTGGTGGAGTCAGAACCGACTCATAGCTGACCTCCTAGGCAGTTTTAGGAGGTTATAAATCACACAGGAGGAAATTGCCCACGCAGAACCACTAGCAGATCTGAACCACCAGAAAGATAGCAGCTTTCGGTTACTAGTGCAGCTCCCTACAGATTCCACCAGCAAAATTTCCTCTGCACATGTATATTAAAGTTATTTTTAATTACTATGTTATTGTTGTTAAAACAAATAACAACGTGAGTTATTGATTTGATCTAATAAAATGATACATCATTTCTGAACTAGTGCTAACTGGAAGCTCTGGTGGCCTAGTGGTAAAAAGCTGCACTGCATTCCCAAAGTTCCAATCCACCAGCTGCTTCACCAGCCGTGGAAGAAGATTGGGTAATTTCCTTTCATGTGATTTGTTGTTGTTGTTGTTTATTGCCTTCAATTTAAGTACGACTCAGAGAGACCCTGTGAACAAAAGGCCTGAAACCACTCTACAACTATGGATATTTATCAAAGTTCATAGAGTTTCTGGAGGCATGTTATTTAGGAAGTGGATACCACTCCTGCTTCCAAACCTGGAATAGTATGTTATTGTTGTTATGTGTCATTGAGTCGCCTGCGATGTATACCCTGTGTACAGCAGCTCTGAACCCTTCCCTGTCCTGAGCCAGTTTCACTAACATCGACACACCAACCCCCATCACACCAATTACTGTATCAATCCATCGCATCCTGGATCTCCCTCTCATTCACTGTCCATCACCATTCCAAGCATGATGTCCTTCTCCAAGGACTGATCTTCCCTGACCATGTGCCCAAAGTTAACTGAGGCAGAGCTTCAAAATCCTAGCCTCCAAGGAGAGACTTGGATTCAACCTCTCCAAGACAGACCTATTTGTTTTCTTGGCAGCCTATGGTATGTTCAAGACTCTTCTCCAGCACCACAACATCTATTCTTCTGTCATCCTTAGTCATTGTTCAACTCTCTGAAGTATAACAAGTAGTTGAGAAGACCATGGCCTGGATTAGGTGCACCTTTGTATCTAGACTGACATTGTTGCTCTTCAGCACTCTGGAGAGGTCCATGATAGCAGATTTTCCTAATGCAATTCATTTTTTTTTATTTCCTGATTGCTGGTTTTAAGAGTGTTGATTGTCAATTCGAGCAAGCTATAATTGCTAACAACCTCAATCTCTTCTCCATTTAATATGGTGCTGCCAATTGGCTCAGTGTTGAGAATCTTTGTCTTCTTGATGTTGAGCTTCAATCCATATTGAAGACTACAGTCCTTGACCTTTTATATAGCAAGTGCTTCAGGTCCTCCTCAATTTCAGCAAGCAAGGTTGTGCTGTCTGTATATCATAAGCTGTTATAGAGTCTTTCTCCAATCCTGACACCACACTCCTCCTCATAAAGCTCTGCTTCCTGGATGATCTGTTCTGCATACAGATTGAAAAGGTATGGGGATAGGATGCATCTCTGACACACTCCTTTCCTGATTTTGAACCATGCAGTGTTTCCTTGCTCTGTTCTGAGGATATTAAGAGTCTAGACAAGAAAATCTCATGGCAAGTTACTCTATAATCCACAGGATCACCATGATTCAAAATTGACACATTTACCTAGCTGCAGAGTGGAATAATGTATTTTGTGCTCTTTTCTTCAGTAAAAGGTTTACCTTGACAGAGTAAAAATGTCTTAGAAGACATTTTTAAGATCTTACATTTATAAGATCTTCACCTGTTTAAAGCATTCTATTTAGTTAGAAAGAAGGCCTGCTGTGTTACAAGAGGGCAAAGGCAAATAGCTTAAAGCTAGTAGAATGAGAACAGCCTAGATTTGGACCCTGGGGACCTGGTGGCTTGTCCCATGTCACTCCGTGGAAATGACTGACTGTGAGACCATAAGCAAAAATAAACAGTCTAAAGACTTACTTTTCTTATTTGCAAGCAAGAGAGAGAGTGAGAGAGCTTATATTAGATACCCAGGTTCTTTCCAACTATGAAACTTTATAATTTTATTGCTGACAAGAATGACAAAAGCCAGAAGGTATATCAGTTAAACCCCTGGCCAGTCAAGTACATTGCAATTCATAGTGACAGTGCAGCAGTTTCCGGGCTGTAAATCTTTACTGGAGGAGACCTGCCTATCCTTTTCTAGCCGAGGGATGGAGGATTGAACCTACAGTTAAAATGGGGCATTAGGAGCGTTTACTTCCCCCTGCAACTGTCTGCTGGAAACCCTGTGGGGCGGTTCTTCTCTGTCCTAATCGACTTGTTAACATCAGGTTTATGGTTTGGAGGAATTTTTTTTTAAGAGGGGGAAGTGCTCTTCATTTAAATCAAGAAATCGAAGAGCGAATGACCAATTAGTGTGGCCTGAGTTCCTTTTTATAAAGGGGAAGTGAGTTCTTCTTAGGTGGCAAAGGAAAACGTGATTACCATTTCTGCAAATTCTGAATTTTAATATGAGTTTATAGCAACAGTAACTGTGACAATGGCCGTAAGCACAGTGGCGGTGATGGGAACAGCACAGTATCGGGCAGGGCTTCCTTCTGTTATACTTAGGCAAGGAGTTGGAGCCAACTCAACGGCACCTAACAATGACAACACATTATTAACTGCTTTGTAGCTGTTTATTTCTTTATTACTCTGTCAAGCATTTTTTTTTCAAAAGCACAACAAATATCTTTTATTCCACATCATTGAACAAAATTCTTCCTTTTTGGACTGAAGTTATTTTTGTGTGGAAAAGATAATCCTGAAAAATGCCTCCCCTGGTGGAAGGATGCGGTATTACATGCATCTAAAGTATGAACCAGCTGTCCTCCCCGCACTCAACCCACTGTTGCTGCTCTCATAACTGGATCCTCCAGCAAGTTTACATAGGCAGTTAACCACATGAGGGAAGATTGCTCGCCTTTCTCCCTCAGAGCAGCTGGTGGATTCGAACCAAGTGCCTTTAATTTGGCAGCGTAGCTCCTCCTGCGAATTCTGATTCATAGCTATTCTGTACCAGGTTTCTGAGGCTGTAAATTTTAGCAGCTCAAACTGATGCATCTTTCTCCCACTGTGTGTACAGTGAGCGTGAGACTGTTGCCTAATTGAGTTTTGCAAACCTTCACTCAAATCACAATTTGAAGACTTCATTCAAAAAGACTATTATCTATTTTAAAGAGTTTCTACAAATCTGGTGGCCTAGTGGCAAGAAGCTGTACTACAATACCTGAGGTGCATGGTTCGAATCCACCAGATGCTGTGCTGCAGAAGGAGGGACAATCTCCTCCTGTACTAGTCAGATCTGATTTGATGGTACACGCACAGAAAAGAATAAATTTTTTTTAAATCGCATAAAAATAATAGCCCAATGCCTAGTATCTACAAAGATCTCAATAAACTTTAGACATTATCATCACTGTTATTTTCTGATCTCTCCCCTTCCGATCCCTAAATTCTATGCAGGATTACCCATACTATTCTGTGACTATAGCTCTTATCTAAAATTTAAAATAAAAGAAAAAAGGACAAAACAAAAAGATCTTTTGGAGTATGATTGGACTCAGGAGTTATTTTGGTTTTGTTCTTTGAGATGGTTTTATTGGGATAAAATTTGTGTGTAGTTAAATTCACCTGTTTAAAGTGTTTAATCCAATGCCTTTAGTAATGTTTATGGTACAATCATCAACACAGCCTAAATTGATAATACTTTTATTTCAAGAAGAAATGTGGAGCTGATGGTTTTTATTTTAGGTTTCAGATGCCAGTGGGTCTATGAGTGTGAGCCTGGTGGCAGAAGAAAACCCCTTCTCCATGGCAATGTTGCTTTCTGAAGAATGCTTTATCTTGGATCATGGGGCGGCAAAACAAATTTTTGTATGGAAAGGTAAAAGATGCTATTGAAGATGTCATCACATTTCAGATTTACAGGTGTTTCTTTGAAAGGGTTAAGAAGAAAAAAATTCAGTTTATTAAAAGACCAAACACCACCTTCTGAGAGATACATTCTTTTTTTAAAACTTTTTTCCTCTTTATTTTTTTTCACACCTTTCCTCCTTTTCTCCACCCCCCACCCCAAATCATTCATTGTTGCACTTTTCTCCCCTCCCAGCCCTCTCCCCTAGTACACTACCCTCTTGGAAAAGTAAAAGAAAAATTCTTTCATTGTTTTACAATCCCTCTCCTCAGGTCCACTCCACTATACAGTCTTCACTCTGGACTCCTGTCATGACAAAAATACCTAATCACATATCTCAAACAGTTTTCTCCCTCATCTGTTTCAATGCCGTATACATTATTGAACCCATCTTTCTCAGTCTCCCCCCAACCCCGAGGTCAGTCCTGTTTTACAACAGTAGCACCATGCAGTATTTGTCCTTTTGTGACTGGGATACTTCACTCAGCATCATGTCCTCCAGGTCACCCATTTTGAATAATATTGCATGAGTTCCTTGTTTTTCAATTCAGAGTAGTAGTCCATTGTGTGAATATATCACAGCTTCTCTATCCATTTGTTTGTTGATGGGCCCTTAGGTTGTTTCCAACTCCTTGCTATTGTAAACAAAGCCACAATAAAAATGGGTGTGCATATATCTGCTTGGATGTCAGTTATGGTCTCTTTGGGGTATATTCCCAGTAGTGGAATTGCTGGGTCAAATGGTATCTCTATTTGCAACTTTTTGAGAAACTACCTTCCACAGTGGTTGCACCATTTTACACTCCCACCAACAGTGAATAAGGGTTCCAGTTTCTCCACAACCTCACCAGCATTTGTTGTTTGCTGTTCTGTTAAATTTTGCTATTCTGACTGGGGTGAGATGATATCTCATAGTTGTTTGGGGAGAGAGATATTCTTATAAAAACAAAACAAAAGCTCATTGTAGTCGAGTCTGTTCTGACTTGTAGCTGACTCTCCATTGCATTCCCACGGCTATAAATCTCTTAGGCAGAGATTGCTTATCTTTCTCCTGTAGAGCTGTTGATGGATTCGAACCACCAGAGAGACATGGCCTTTGAATTAGCTGTGCCTCTCTCTCCTGACTAGCCACCAGAGCTCTTAAAAGACCTCACACAAATGCAGCCTCACAAACTCATTTTCTTCTGACCAACATTGTTTGCCAAGAAGCAGAAGGTTAACGGATGCATTTAGACAATTATTTCCTAAATAATATGAATTACTGTGCTGTTAAATCTACCCAATGTACTAAGAAATATTTTACCATCATCTCAACGCTACATTTAAATTATAAATATATGTGGTTTTGCTACAAAAATATTTCAGTCATATATGCCTTGCTTTAATTTACTTTATATTTTAGGTAAAGATGCTAATCCCCAAGAAAGAAAAGCTGCTATGAAGACAGCTGAAGAATTCCTGGAGCAAATGAACTATTCTACTAATACCCAGGTACCTGTGGACATGGTCTGGCTGGGAAAAAAACAAACACATGGGAGCCCATGACATTGCTGTAAAAATCCCTAAAATGATTTGGCTTAAAGTAATGTGTGCGTGTGAAGTCATTCTTCACTAGAATGTCGTTAATCGGGTGCCACGTATTCCGAGAACTTAATCTGTATGTGGGAGAGACTTTTGCAGAAGTGAAAGATCGGATCTTCCATAGGGGTGAATGATGAGAATGACAGACATCCTCCAGAACCTTTGATTCAGATAATGAACCACAGTCAAGGTAACTAGAAGCACTTATTCCTTAGTGAAAGTTGTGCAGACATAGACTAAAACCCAGATAGTATTTGGCTCCATCAAGATCACTCCAGAATGGCTAGTTACTCTTCCTTTTTTAATATCTCAATCTTATCCACTCTTTACATTTTTGTCTTGCCACTCACAACACAATGAGATCATTTCTTTCAGAACACAGACCTCTTGGGGCCGAATGCAAAGAAAAGCCAAACTCCAAATTCATAACAGTAGTCACTATTACTTGTAATGAAAACATGCAAGAAGAATTCTATCTTCATCCCATACATCTGATTTCAGTGACACCACCTTAAATTGTGAGAGAAAACAAGGCAGGATTGTTCAAGAATTTTCTGGGTTTTCATGCATTTTTTTCAAGGATCCCAGTATCTGAGTTAACATCTGTTATCACAGAAAGCAGAGCATTCTTTTCATGCTTGTAAAATCTTCTTTCCACTACTACCATGTTTCCTTTCATTCATAACTTCTTGTTTATTATTATTGTGATATTTTTAAATTTCAGATTCAAGTTCTTCCAGAAGGAGGTGAAACACCAATCTTCAAACAGTTCTTTAAGGACTGGCGAGATAAAGATCAGAGTGATGGCTTCGGGAAAGTATATGTCACAGAGAGAGTGGCCCAAATAAAACAAATTCCATTTGATGCCTCAAAATTACACAGTTCTCCACAGATGGCAGCCCAACACCATATGGTGGATGATGGCTCGGGTGACATGGAGGTATTTACCTGGCTGTGATGGCTTGCTTGTTTGTTTTTACCAAGCCCATTTATGTCAGTAGATGTTAGAACTCTGATGGCCTAGTTGGTAAACCAGGTGTTTTGAATCTACCAGTTGCTCTAAGGAAGAAAGATGGACAATCACCTTCCATGCAATTTACAGCCTCTGAAAAACCTACTGGAGGGTCAACTATGAGTCAGCAATGAGTTGAGTTGAGTTGATGTTAGAACTATAATTTTAAGAAACTACAAAATTTATAAATTTTACTTAATATTATTAAACATGGTCCAAGACTGCATACTAAATCGAATAATTGAAACTTGGAAAAGATTCTATCTAACCTTCACAAATTTTTAGTTTGAGATTTCAAAAAGTTAGGGAATTTTTTTCCCCCTCAGGGTCACCTTGTTATTATCTTAAAGACGTGGCACTGGAACCAAATGTCAGATTTCCAGTCCAGAATGGTTCCTGCTGTGAGAAAGCCTGGTTCTGGAATGGTGCAGGGAGAGCTTTTGCTTTCGTGTATGAATATTCCAACTGACTTGCCCATCAGCTACATTTTGTAGGGTGTTTATGCACACAATCAGAGCAGTTGAATTGTTTGTTAATTATTCCATTTAAGAAAACAAATGATGTAAATCCCCTAATAATTCTCCCTGACTCAAGTTCTTTCATTCCCAGTTCACTCTTGAATCATCTAATTTATTGAGGACTGGATTATTTCTTTTCCACTTAAAAATGCTGTCATGACTTTCCATAAGTCTACTTGAAAAGGCTGGTCTTCAGCTTTGTACCCAGATTTCCATAATTCAACCTCCACTTCTCTTCTCACAAAGAGTTCTGGTGGTATAGTCGATTGCAACGAGTGTTGCACTACAGGTCAAAACACTGCATTTCTGGTGGTTTGAATCCACCAGAATTTCTACAGGACAAAGACAAGCAGTTTCTTCCTGCTGAGATTTACAGCCTCAGAAATCCAAGGGTGGGTTGCTGTGAATAAGAATTCACTCCACAGCAGTGAGTTTTATCAATTCTTCTCTGTGTTACCTTCCATTGCCATGAGCATCCATACTCTTTCCCATCTGGTAAACACCTTTACTCTTCTTTGGTATTTCACTAGAGCTAACTCTTCACAGATACTTGTTCTGTGCTTGGAAAAAGACTATCTCTAGAGAGCTCTAGAGGCCTTGTAGAAAGGAGCTGTGCTGCCAATCCAAAAGCAGGTGGTTCAAATTCACCAGCCACTCAAAGGAAGAAAGAAAAAACCTCAACCCGTGTGATTTGCACCTCTGAAAACTCTTTGGAGGGTCCAATTCAATGACATGTAATTCATACACATAGGCTCACAATTGCCCTTAGTCTCAACCTATAAATAATATTTTTAACAAAATTCATCATAAAAGTGTCACAAAATTGTTCATTTACTTAAAGGCTTCCCCTGCTAGAGCCACCATCACTTCTTTGAAGGTAGAATTGCATATTTCTATTTCCTTATTTCTGGGCTAGCCACAATGGCTGGACCAAAGAATATCCTCTAGAAATTTGGAAACACATTTTCTTCTTTTCAAAGGCTTGAATTTAAGTAGGGAAGGGAGTTTCAGAGTGAGAGATACTAATGACGAAAGCCACAATGCCCCTTATGACTAGTGGAAGGCAGTGGCTCTGGGCCTGTCTCCTGCTCTATAAGACATGCATCCTCTCCTGGAGTTCAGCATAAAGGGCACTGCTCGACTAGTGCAAAGCTAGAGTCCCCAGAACTGCCTATATGTCAGGCTACAATTTCAATCTCAGGTCACAGTATCCCTGAGCTGTCCTCTGGTGTGACCCCAGGGCTGCTGACACTTGAAGTCTCTGTAGAAGCTCTTTAGTTTAGTGAGGCATACCGCCATTTTTCCTCTGATTACTGGACGGCATGAGAAGGCTTTTCCCTAAGAGCACCACACTGAAACCATAGCCTCTTATAGTCTGAGACCATCAGAATCCCTATTAGATATTTTAAAGACAACGGATCTATTCCCCCCCCCTTTTTTTTCTGTCTAGGAGCCAGGCAAGAACTGTTTATGAAAAATAGCAGTGTCTGGCAGCCTTTTAATCATACATTATAGTTTTGTTTTCTCTGTAAAACTTTTCTCTCTCCAAAAAGGAAGGTCTTTAATCTGTCATAAGGATGGACTTCTTGTTGTATGCACTGTTGAGAAGAAACCTCCATATAACTGACTCTCCAGAGATCTTTAGAGGCTGTAAATCTCATGAGAGGAGATTGTCCTTCTTTATCCCTTGGAGCCACTGCTGGACTTGAACTGCCTGCCTTTGGGTTGGCAGTGCAACTCCTTACCACTAGACCAACAGAGTTCCTTGAGTTAAATTAAAAACTACATCCACTTGTGTTTATCCTTTGTTATAAATAACTCTTCAGTCTCAAGCCTAGATGATACCTTGTCAAAAAAGAAGTTATTGCTACTTGATAAAATTTGCTAAATTTACCTGGGAAAATTTATCATTTCATCTCTAAAACATAAAGAAAAAGAATCATATCATTAAATTAATTCCTGATTTTAAAAAAGCATCCCTTTATTATATAAAGTTAAAAGTCTGAATATTATAATCCATTATTCTGCTAGAGTGTTCAGTGATTTTTACCAATTGACTGATCAGTAGGAGTTTATTAACCAGCAGACTCAGTACTGAGCTAAAGACTGTGGAGGATATAAAGGTAATATGTTGCTATTGTTGTTATGTGCTCTCAAACATAAGCACTTCTAGAGCTCTGGTGACCTAGTAGCAAGAGGCTTTACTGCAATACCAAAGACACACAGTTTAAGATCATCAGCTGCTCTGTGGGAGAAGGATGGGCAATCTCCTCCTGTGTGATTAACTGCATCTGAAAAATCATCAGAGGGTCAGCTATGGGTTGGTTCTGACTCAGTGGTACACAACAACAACAACACAACAAAATCATTAGAGAGCTCTTCTAGTATAGTGGATACGAAGTGCTGCCAACTCAAAGGAATGTGGTTTGAATCCACCAGCAATTCCTCAGGAGAAAGATGGGCAGTCCTCTTCTCTGCCATCTCAACAGCTTCTGAAAACCACTTGAAGGATGAGCTATGTATCAGTTCTAACTTGATAGCACATAAGACAAATTTTCAGATTCACAAAATTTCTTCCCTTTGCAAAATTTGAAAATGAATTTAAAAGTTGATTATATGCCATATGGAGCAAAGGCGAGGATGGAAACCAGAGGCTCAAGGATGAGATTATTCCACTCACTGACTAGTTAGCTCATGTGAACCAAAGCCTCTTCAAGCCTGAGACTGTAAGAACTAGATGATGCCCATCTACCCCTATTAACAGTTCTGACCATGGACACGCAAAAAGTGGAACCAACTAGAATGGGAAGAAAAGGTAAAAAAACTCAAATTTGTAAAAAAAAAAAAAAAAAAAGACAAAATTTACTTGCCTGAAAGGCTAGAGGAACTCCCCAGACTATCACCCTAAGATATTATTTTAACTCAAATCTAAATTCTTTCCCTGAGGTCACCTTTTAGTCAAAGGATAGATTGGCCTAAAAATAAACAATAACATTTATGAAAAATTGTGCTCCCTTAAACAGTCACCTGTACAATAGTTACATAAAATCGAGACTGTAACACCAAGGAGGGATAGAGGAGCTAGGTTGTTGAGAGTGGGGCAGGCAGGGTAGAGATGACAAAAGTGCTAACATGGTACAGTGGTTATAACCAAGGCCACACAGAAGTTTATGAATTGTTGAATGAGAATCTTGTTTTCTGGTTAAACTTTCATCTAAAACATAATTGTTGTGTTGTTGTTATTTGCTGTTGAGTTGTTTGCGACTCATAGTGACCCTGTGTACAACAGCTCTAAACTCTGCTCTGTCCTGTGCCAATCTCATTGTCTCTGACACACCCATCCCAGTTACCCCAGTCACTGAATCAATCCACCTCCCAGAGGTCCTTCCCTTTCTGCGCCTGCCCTCCACTCTCCCAAGCATGATGCCCTTCTCCAAGGACCGGTCTCTCCTTACAACATGACCAAAGTATGTCAGACGAAGCCTCAGAATCCTTGCCTCCAAGGAGTAGCCCGGTTTAACCTTCTCCAGGATGAATCTGTTTGTTTTCTTAGCAGTCCATGGTACACTCAATACTCTTCTCCAACACCAAAGCTCAAAAGCATCAATTCTCCTTCTATCGTCCCTGGTCATTGTCCAGTTCTCTGACACATAGCAAGTTATTGCAAAGACCATGCCTATACCAGACGCACATTAGTCTCCAGAGACACACCGTTGCCCTTGAGTACATTAGAGAGGTCCCTAACAGCAGACTTTCCCATGGCAATACGTCTTTTAATTTCCTGGCTGCTGGTGGAAAGCGTAAGCCAAGCAAACTAAAGCTGTGAACAATCTCAATCTCAATCATCCTGATGCTGCCAATTGGTCCAGTGGTGAGAATCTTTGTCTTCTTGACATTGAGCCTGAATCCATATTGAAGGCTACAGTCCTTGACCCTCAGCAGCAAGCGCTTCAGGTCCTCAGTTTCAGCAAGCAGGGTTGTGTCATCTGCATAACACAGATTGTTAATAGATATTCCACCAATCCTGATGCCGCATTTCTCCTCATACAGCCCAGCCTCCCAGATGATCTGTTCTGCATACAGCTTGAAAAGGTATGGAGAAAATGAGAGAGAGAATAATAAAGGGGAAAAAACCCCTCGATCTCCTTACCATAGTCAGAACTGACTCAAAGCTGATCCTCCAGTAACTTTTCCAAGGCTGTAAATAGAATAGGAGGAGATTTCTCATCTTTCTCTCTTGTAGCTGCTGGTGCATTTAAACTGCCTTCCTTTGGATTGGCAGTATAATTCTTTACTCAGTAAGCTGGAGAAGGCATCCTTTGTCCACCAGAAGACTTGCATGAGAATGCTTATAGCAGCACTATTTGTTATAGCCTAACCTGGGGGGGACCCCACAATATACATTCTTATAGCTTGCTAAACCTTGGTGGCCCAGTGGCTGAGTGCTTTCCTGCTAAATGAAAGGTTTGTGGTTCGACCCACCCATTCCATGGGAGAAAGATATGGTAATCTGTTTCAGTAAAGATTTAAAGCTTTAGAAACCATCTGGGGCAGATTTATTCTGTCCTATAGAGTCACTACGGTCAGATCTAAACTGAAAATTATTTGTAGTTTTTGGAAAGCATTATAAAATAGAGAAAAAAATTAACTTTGTTACATATATTTCGTTCCTTCCAGATCTGGCGTGTAGAAAATAATGGTAGGATCCCAATTGACCGAAACGCATATGGTGAATTTTATGGCGGTGACTGCTACATTATACTGTATACTTACCCCAGAGGGCAGATTATCTACACATGGTAAGTTTACCTCTTTAATAAGACTTCACATTTTATAGGGGCCAGGTTTTACTTTAGAGCATTAAATTGATGCAGATGTAATAATAACCATCCTAGAGTGACCCCAGTAAGATGTATATAACACGCATCGAGATACTATTCATTTTCTTGGACTCGGTTTTGAGTATTTTTTACACTTGCTATCCAGGACCATGAAACATTGACATACAATCATTCTCCGTATCTGAGGGAAAAGGGTTTGCTCTTCAAAACCGTAGTGTGCTTTTAGTGAGCAAATAGGTGAATGTCTTATCTTTTATACCGAAATTCCACCTGGTCCATGCATGGCCATGTCTTTTTGTTTAAACTTGCCGAGGCCACCCTGAAGTGCAGTTCCAAAGCTGTAGCAAGGTTACCTCTGGATATTGTTTCTGATTTTATTTCATACCCCAGAAACCTCAAATTATTGCATTCTTGTTCTTTGTCCTTGTGAAAGTCAGATCATTGATGAAGAAAATAAGGCTATTTATCTATATTTTGTGTGAATCTGCATACTAACTTAGTTGAAAGTTTGGTTTCTTTAGTCTGAATAAGTACAAAGACTCACTCCAGGTGGAAGGACCACAAGTGTCCAGCCATTGGTAGAGGCAATAGGGAGTTGGATGCTAAACCAAAGGCCATGTTTCTCTGATGGTGAATCAGTCAGTGGCTCTGAGGGAGAAAGACAGACAGTCTTCTCCCATGTGATTTTACAGTTTCAGAAACCCAATGGAGGATTCACTCTGACAGTGAATTGAACGGTTGAACTGAAGTAGTGTAAGTACACACAGTGGGCTGTGCTATTCCAAAAGGAGAGAAATCCTGAAACTGTGTTCTCTGCTGGCAGTGAGATTCTCAATTTCTGCTGCTGAACCCATTCAATTTAATGGTGAGACTAGATAATCCCCTTGTGAATAGATGAACACACTCTATTTGTATATTTTTGTCCATCCATGTGGCAAAGTCAAAGTCAGTAAATGGCTAGAATAATAAACCCTTGACACCTCAGCGACCCACCGGTATCAGCATAGCAGCTTCAGGAAATAAGATGGCTCCTGCTACTCAAAGGATAGGGGGCTCTAGTGGCCTAGTGGCAAGAAGCTGTGCTGCAGTCCCGAAGGCACACAGTTCAAGGTCACCAGCTGCTCTGTGGGAGAAAGATGGGTAATCCCCCATGCTATTAACTGCCCCTGAAAACTTGCCCAAGGGCCAGCTATGGCTTGGTTCCAACTCTGGGTTACACAACAAACAACAACAACTCACAGGATGGTCTGGGAACCAGTAGCACTGCATCGCCTGGCAGTTTGTTAGAATTATAGACAGGATATTTTAGCAAGATCCCCAGATAAGTCAGATGTAAGACAGTGACAGAGAACCTCTGCCTTAGGCAAGAATTCTAAACACTAACAGCACGTTTTTCAAAAGCTTTGGAAATCTCCCACAGATACAAATATCTAGCCTCGATTTCTTACCAAATAAATCAGAATCAGGAGGGGTCTTCTTGAAATTTTAACGTACACCAGTATGTTAATGAGGACCACTGCACTTAGCACTGTCTCTGACCCCATGTTGTTGTTGTTTAATAACGCTGAGGCAGAACTAACTCAAACCTGACACTCCAGCAGGTTCTCCGCAGCAGTACATGACACTGGAAGAAACTGCTCATCTTTCTCCCCTGGAGCAGCTGGGGGTGCTAATTACCTGCCTTTGGGCTGGCAGCACAACTTCTTACCACCGGGCCACCAGGGTTACCTTTCTAACCCCATGTTGTTGTTGTTGTTGGCCATCGAGTCAGGACTGACTCACAGCTGACCCTCCAGCAGGTAAATCACATGGGAGGAGATTGCCCATCCTTCTCTCGTAGAGCAAATGGTGGACCCAAACCACATCCCTTTTTGGAATTGCAGTGCAACTTCTTACCTCTGGACCACCAGAGCTCACTTCTGACGCCATAATCACCGTTATTTACCTATGTATGAAAGGCCATCTCACAAGCAGCCATTTGGTCAGTGGCATCTACACACTAGAAAACAGCTCCAAAACACCCGCTCCAAACTCACCCCTTTCAGGTTGGTTCCAGCTCACATACCTCTCCACTGGGTTTCCAAGGCTGTACATCATAACAGGAAGAGACTGCTTATCTTTCTTCCCTGGAACTGCTAATGGATTTGAACTTCCTGGAGACACGCATCCTTTAAATCGGCAACACAATTTGCTATGGACTATACCACCATGAGGGGGCTCTGGTGGCCTTAGTGGTAAGAAGGGACGTGGTACCTGTTTGAACACACCAGCTGCTCCTCAAGAGGTGGACTATCTCCTCCCAGTGATTTCCCAGTGAAAACCTGCTGGAGGGTCAGCTATGGGTCAGTTCTGACTTGACAGCACACAACAGCAACAACACATGCCCGAATTCACAACCGGAATTCCCGAGCAAACTGCTACATGTTTCTAAATACAGTTTCTCTTCTTTACTATCACCAATTTTCCGAGAAATGAAACAGACCGTTTAAGTAAAAGTGAATCAGTTTAAGTTAATGTAATCCAGTGTTTCAACTCCTATAACTGACAAATCAATATTGCACATTCTGATCTATCAGAAGGTCTGAATGCAGCCTTCCTGCTGTATGGTTATATACAACTCATCCATTACGTATAGATGTATATGGTTTATAGAAGTCGTCAATTTATGGGATAAACTGATGTAAGAAATTAAGAAGGTTAAAGTCCAGAAGGTAGAGTTGAAGATGAAATGCTACATTTCAATTACTTTTCAAAGACACCAATTCGGCTTTGTGTTTCTGAAACCACTTATATTCTCGAATGGTAAGAGAATGCTCATTTCAGCTGTGATGTTCTCTCTGCACTGCTGGGCCCCTGAAACTGCAGACGCTGAGCATGGACAATGACGAATCTCTCGAAGCAGTGAATTCCATTTTCATGGAGCACTTAGTTTTAATGAGCAATAAGCACCATGAATTTACAGAAAAGAAGTCATATCAGACAACACAGATTGCTTCCTCCTCATCCCCCTTAGGCAGAGGATTCAAAATTAGAGGCAGAGATAGATTGTGCTATGTGATGATAGTGGAAAACCTGACCTCAGGGTAAGACATCTTTACAGCAGGCTAATTTTCTATTGTGTGGTGGTGACATGGCCACTTTGACAGGAATCTAGCAGGAAGAGGAGTTCAAGATGAGTAATGGGATCTTTATTAAGAGTATCAAAGGTGAAAAGTTAGATATTATTATTCAGGTTAACTAGTTGAAATATTCCAGGGAAAAAGAAATCATTACTTGGAAACGGTTTAAGTTAGTTGCTTGAATGTTGTATTTATTTATATTTCCATCAAGAAAAGGCAAGTAAAGAAAGGACCAGGGGAGAGCAGATGTGGCTAAGGTGTGACCAGAGTATCACTCTGTTGGGAATCGGCACTTGGAGTGGTTTCTCCCATTGGCCATGTGCTCAGAGGGACTTCCAGAAGAGTTTTTAGCATGAAAATTTCATGAAAAATTTATCTTATCAACATTAAAAGACTTTTGTTTTTATGGGTGCCTTTATTACAGGAAGGAGTTCTGGCAGTATAGTGCATTAAGTGTTGTGCTGTTAACTTAAAGGTTACTGGTTTGGATCCACTGACTGCTCTGGGGAGAAAGATGGGCTGTCTCCTCCTATGAAGACTCAAAGCCTCAGAAACCCACTGTAGAGTTGCAAGGAGTAGGAGCTGCCTCTCCAGGAAAGGGTTTGGTTTGGGTTTTGTTCATTAGGGAAAGGAGTCCTACTGGTGTAGCAGGTAACAGTTGGGCTGTTAACCAAAAGATCAGTTGTTCAAACTCATAATCCACTCCAAGGGAGATAAGTAATCTCTTCCCACTGAGATTTACAGCCATGAATTTTAATCAGCTCAACAGTAGTGGGATTAATTTTGGGTTTGGTTGGGAGGGAAAAAAGAGACCTTGTGGCACTTGGAGTGAAGCCTAAGACTGCAAAGTGAAAGTCTGGGCTTCCAACCTGCCAGCTGATTTAGAGGGAAAAGATAAGACAATCAGCCTCTCTGGTGGTTACTGCTTTGGAAACCCACTGAGACAGTTCTACTCTGTGATAAACTTGACGGCAATTGGAAGATTTTTACCCTGGTTTCTAAGCAAAACCATTTTCATTTTAACAAATGTCTAGCTGCCCTCTTCATGCACTTTTACATTTTATTTTCTCATCTGCAGAGCTTTATAACATGAACTCTTTTGTCGATGCTTGTGCATGGAAATTTCTGAAATAAATAACACGTGCTCCCAGTTTGTTCTCTCTCACACATGCTCCCAGTTCGTTCTTTCTCTCTCCTCTCCCTCTCTCTCTCTCTCTGTGTGTGTGTAGGGCTACTGTTGACTCTACTAAAAATGGAACTCGGGATTCCTATTTTGTGCCTAACCTGTAGCCAGTGATCACAGTGATGATCATGCACAATAATGAAGAGTCGGCTGAGGAAAACAAGGTTTAAGGCTTTTCGTTTTCCTCTTCGTAAACTCACCAAACAAGAAAATCTACTAAAACTCATATTACACATTAAGCTAGTGACTCAGAATTAAACCACAGTCTGCCCCAGCAAGAGAAGTTGCAAATGAATGGGATCCATTTTACTTAGTCCTTTATATGAGTTGCTGGCAGTTTGTCTTTTATACAGCGTTCTTAGTACAGTAAGGGAGCTCTGCTGGCCTACTGGATATAAAGTTATATTGTCAACTCAAATTACCAGTGGTTCAAATCTACCCATTTCTCTGAGGAAGAAAGGAAATCTCCCGTATAAACCTGGAGTGTCGACTATGAGTTGGTTCCAACTCAACAGCAATAAATCGAGTTTAGTACTCAATAATTCCTGTAAAGAATTATCAAAAGGAGTTGTGCTGCCAATCCAATGTCCCACCAGTTGGAATCTACTGGCTGCTCTGTGGCAGAAAAATGGACTGTCCCCTTCCATGTGATTTACTGTCTCTGAAAACCCTCTTGGGGGTCTGCTGTAAGTCAATTATGACTCAACCATACATAACAACAACAGACATGTGTGAGTATGTGTATGCGTGTAGATAGACAAGCAAGTGCGTACATACCTCAGCTGTTAAAAGCAGCGACATGTGAAAATACTTCCCCAATATAAGAAAATGATACCCCGCCAAACAAAACACAAGGACAACCAAGCATACAGACACAGTAGTGCAGTGACAAGGTTCCCGTATCAAGGCAGAGGTGCAAGGCAGCCCAAGGCTGGGCAGTTGCCAGGACCTCCTTCCAGAAGTGGCCGGTGTTCAGCTCTCCTCTGGCGTCAGAGTTTGGGTTTAGAGGAGGCGTGTCACTAGGGATATCATTGCTGATGACAGGCTGGAAGTAGAGAATACCAGAGGTTTAATTGTGTTTTATCGACTATGCAAAGGCAATTGATGGTGTGGATCAAGGGAAATTCCAGAACATTTGATTGTGCTCACGTGAAACCATGTGCCACTGGGGTGTCAAATGCCATAACAGTTGCCCATGGTGGACAGTGTTTGGTGGAGCTCCCAGTTTAAGACAAGTTTGGAAGCAGGAGTGGCATCCACTTCCTAAAACACATGCCTCTGGAGACTCTATGAACTTGGAGAAACCACAATAGTCATAGAAGGCTTCAGGTCTTTTGTTCATAGGATTGCTATGAGTCATGCTTGACTTAATGGCAATCAACAACAACAACATGCAAAACCTATACCTAGACCAAGAAACTGTTGTCTAAACAGAGGAAGATGCATCAATGACCTGTGTTATACAGATGACACAACTGTGCTCATCCAAACTGAGAACTTGAGACACTTGCTACAGAAGATCAAGGACTGCAGCCTTCAATATGGATTGCATCTCAACATCAAGAAAATAAAATTCTCACCATCAGAATAGGCAATGTTATGGTAGTTGGAGAAAAGATTGAAGTTGTTACCGTCCTTGGCACAAGCAGTCAGAAAATCAGAAGACAAGTTAACTGACAAAAGACATGATTGGCAAAATCTGCTGTCGAGGACCTCTTCAGAGTGCTAACGAGTAATGATGTCAGTTTAAAGACTAAGCTGTGCTGGATACAATTCGTGGCCTTTTCAACTGCTTGCTATGCATTTGAGAGCTGGACAACAGCTAAGGACAATAGAAGAATAATTGCCTTTGATCTGTGGTGTTAGAGAAGAATATTGAGCATGCCATGGACGACTGAGAGAAGAAATAGGTTAGTCTTAGAGAAGGTGAAACGAGGCTGCTCCTTGGAGGCAGGGATTGTGAATCTCCTTCTTACATAATTTGGGGCATGTTGTCAGGAGGGACTGGACCTTGGTGAAAGACATCATGCTTGTAAGAGTGGAGGGTTAATGCAGGAAAGGAAAGCCTGGATGAGGTGGATTGACACAGTGGCTGTGACAGTGGGGTCAGATGTGTTAGAGATGGTGAGATTGGCTCAGGAAAGGCCTGGGTTCAAAACCTTTCATTCATAGGGTCGCTATGAGTCATAGGTGACTCGACAGCACATAACAACAGTGTGTGTGTGTGTGTGTGTGTGTGGTTATTGTCCTCGAGTTGGAACCAATTCACAGCTGATCCTCCAGAGAGTTTTTAAAGACTATAAATCATTCAGGAGGAGATTTTCCATGTTTTTCAGCAGCTGTGTAGTTGAATCACCTGCCTTTGAATTGGAAACACAACTTCTTAATCATGAGGCTACCTGGGGCTCACATATACCTGTATTGTTGTTGTTAAGTGCTGTCAAGTACAACTTGTAGTGACCCTGCGAACAAAAGATCTGAACCCTGTCCTATCTCATAGTTTCTGATCCACTTGCATCCATTCTGCAGTTACTGTGTCAATCCATTTTATTGAAGATATTCCTCTTATTCACATGCTGTCCCTCTCCAAGAAATAGCCTCTCCTAGCAACATGCCCAAAGCTCTGTCATCTTTGTCTCCAAAAAGCACTCTGGCTGTACTTTGTTCTTTTGACAGCGCATGGGGCATTCAGCACTCTTTTCCAAGACCTGAGTTCAAAGGCATAGATTCATCTTCTGCCATCCTTTTCACTATCCAAATCTCAGATACATAGCAGGAGACTGAAAAGACCATCGCCTGGGGGTAGTGGTGGGGATTGTATAACAATGAAAGATATTTTTTTTTCAAGGAGAAAAGCAAACTGGGGGAGGAAAGGTGGGCAGGGAGGAAAGTGCAACAATGAATGAATGAATGAAAATCCAAAGTCTCTGTAAACTTTCATTAAAATTTAAAAAAAGAAAGAGAGAAAGAGGAAAGAAAGAAAGAAAGAAAGAAAGAAAGAAAGAAAGAAAGAAAGAAAGAAAGAAAGAAAG